CAGGCACAAGAGTGGAGGAGTCAAATTATATATATATTAACAAAAAACATATATTCATTTTTTCAAGTCACATAACAGTACAACATGTGCCATTTCCTGAGGAGGATCAGAAATATTTTCATATCAGAATAGTATAAAAACTTGTTGCTGCATAAAAAGTGCTATTATTCTGTGTGATGGTTATTTCGTAGCTTATTAATTTTATTAATCTGATATTTATGTCATTAATTAGTCACTTTACCTGCTGCTATTATTATTATTACTGTTTTCTCCGGTCATGTTCTCTGCTGTGCGATATCAACATCTGTAAATACCTCCTGCTGACGTTTTCATTTTATTATTATCTATTATCTTAAATAGGGGCGACAGTAGCTCAGTTGGTAGAGCATTGGCCTTAAGCCCAGAAGGTCGTGGGTTCAATTCCCACCTCTGCACCTTCTCCACCGACTCCCACTGATGACTGCTGTCGTTGTGTCCTTGGGCAAGACACTTAACCCCACTTTGCCCAAAAGCTCCCACTGAAAGATCAAGGCTATGCTCACACTCAGAGAGCAGCCGTCCTCCTGTGGACTCACCACCTGCAGAGGGTCAGTGAGGGGCTGGTGCTATGAGACTTGGGTGGCATCTCTGACTGCCACCCCCCTGACCCAGAAATGGATTAAAGGGAAGAAAATGGATGGATGGATATCTTAAATAGATCCTGTTTTATATGGGCATAACCTGAGAGCTCTTATTTCCTCCTTTTATTCTGCTGTAATGTGCGCAACGATGACATTGAAATTTCCCTAATGTGGGACAAATTAAGGATTATTTTATCTAATCTAATCAGCGTTGAATTCAAATATCAAGTTGTATTCATTGAACGGGAGGCACGCTGGCTCTCGCTTCTGAGCAAGGAATGGGGTCTTTCTCAGTGGAGTTTACATGTTCTCCCAACGCCCGCTCTCGTTTCCCCTATCACTAAAAACATGTACAATAGGTAGATCCTCCTGCTCCAGTAGTCCTGACCAAGCCGAGCGCTATACTACGGCGACCACTGCTCTTGACGTAAACCTTTGCAGCATCAGGATGGGTCAAATGCAGAGGATGAAAAGCTTTTTGGGGATTAATAAAGTGCACATTTTTAACAATACAATCAGAGTGACAGCCTCATGTTGGTTACAGTGCCTTGCGAAAGTATTCGGCCCCCTTGAACCTTTCAACATTTCGCCACATTTCAGGCTTCAAACATAAAGATATCAAATTTAATTTTTTTCTCAAGAATCAGCAACAAGTGGGACACAATCGTGAAGTGGAACGAAATTTATTGGATAATTTAAACTTTTTTAACAAATAAAAAACTGAAAAGTGGCGCATGCAATATTATTCGGCCCCCTTGCGCTAATACTTTGTAGCGCCACCTTTTGCTGCAATTACAGCTGCAAGTCGCTTGGGGTATGTCTCTATCAGTTTTGCACATCAAGAGACTGGAATTCTTGTCCATTCTTCCTTGCAAAACAGCTCGAGCTCAGTGAGGTTTGATGGAGAGCGTTTGTGAACGGCAGTCTTCAGCTCTTTCCACAGATTCTCGATTGGATTCAGGTCTGGACTTTGACTTGGCCATTCTAACACCTGGATACGTCTATTTGTGAACCATTCCATTGTAGATTTGGCTTTATGTTTTGGATCATTGTCCTGTTGGAAGATAAATCTCTGTCCCAGTCTCAGGTCTTTTGCAGACTCCAACAGGTTTTCTTCCAGAATGGTCCTGTATTTGGCTCCATCGATCTTCCCTGTCCCTGCTGAAGAAAAGCAGGCCCAAACCATGATGCTGCCACCACCATGTTTGACAGTGGGGATGGTGTGTTCAGGGTGATGAGCTGTGTTGCTTTTACGCCAAACATATCGTTTTGCATTGTGGCCAAAAAGTTCGATTTTGGTTTCATCTGACCAGAGCACCTTCTTCCACATGTTTGGTGTGTCTCCCAGGTGGCTTGTGGCAAACTTTAAACAAGACTTTTTATGGATATCTTTGAGAAATGGCTTTCTTCTTGCCACTCTTTCATAAAGGCCAGATTTGTGCAGTGCACGACTGATAGTTGTCCTATGGACAGACTCTCCCACCTCAGCTGTAGTTATCTGCAGTTCATCCAGAGTGATCATGGGCCCCTTGGCTGCATCTCTGATCAGTCTTCTCCTTGTTTGAAATTAAAGTTTGGAGGGAGGGCCGGGTCTTGGTAGATTTGCAGTGGTCTGATACTCCTTCCATTTCAATATAATTGCTTGCACAGTGCTCCTTGAGATGTTTAAAGCTTGGGAAATCTTTTTGTGTCCAAATCCGGCTTTAAACTTCTCCACAACAGTATCTCGGAACTGCCTGGTGTGTTCCTTTGTCTTCATGGTTCTCTCTGCGCTTTAAACAGAACCCTGAGACTATCAAAGAGCAGGTGCATTTATACGGAGACTTGATTACACACAGGTGCATTCTATTTATCATCATCAGTCATTTAGGACAACATTGGCTCATTCAAAGATCCTCACTGAACTTCTGGAGTGAGTTTTCTGCACTGAAAGTAAAGGGGCCGAATAATATTGCACGCCCCACTTTTCAGTTTTTTATTTGTTAAAAAAGTTTAAATTATCCAATATATTTCGTTCCACTTCACGATTGTTTCCCACTTGTTGTTGATTCATGACAAAAAAATTAAATTTTATATCTTTATATTTGAAGCCTGAAATGTGGCAAAATGTTGAAAGGTTCAAGGGGGCCGAATACTTTCGCAAGGCATTGTAATTAGTTGAGAAAAGAGATGCTTTCTCAATTTTTGATTTGTGTAGTTTGTAAGATTTACATGCAGCCAGACTTCTCACTGGTTTTAACAGAAGGGAGCACATCACCCCAGTTTTAGCGTCCCTCCACTGGCTCCCTGCGCGTTTTAGAATTGATTTAAAGATTTTACTGATTACTTTTAGAGCTCGTTTAGGTCTGGCACCCAGTTATATTTATGAACTTTTAACCCCCTACGAGCCTTAGATCCTCGGGCAGGTCCCTGTTGACCGTTCCAAGGTCGAGGCTCCGGACAAAAGGTGACCGAGCCTTCTCTGTCCAGGCTCCTCGACTTTGGAACGACCTGCCCGAGGAGATAAGGCTAGCACCATCAGTATCCTCTTTTAAATCTCTTCTTAAAACCCACTTTTATCAAACAGCTTTTAACTGTTATAGTTTTAAACTTCACATGCTGTATTTTAATGTCTGCTCTGTCTTTGTTGTGTCTTTCTTCTTGTGTTTTGCTCTGTCCCCTTTGTTTTCCTGTAGCCAATTATTTTGACTTTGTATTATGACTGTTTTATTGTTTATCATGCTGGCTGTGCATTGCTTTTAGGGGTGGGAACCTAAGGGTACCTCACCATACCATACGATACGCGATACAAAGCAAACAATTATATCACGATATGACAATTATCGATATATTGGTCAGCAATATACCATATGCCAATATATGGCATACATAAAATAGAAAAATGTTAAGTTAAAAAATACACTTTATTTCATGATAAATGGAATGGAGATGTGTAATAGCCATATATTAAGTATTGATACTATAAAAAAAAAAAAAAATCTATACTTGGCAAATGCATATCGATAATCGATCGCGGGAGAAAGTATCGCGATATATCAAAAAATTGATATATCGTCACACTCCTAAGCGCTTTGTAAACATTGTTTTTAAAAGTGCTATACAAATAAAGATTATTATTATTATTATTATGGGTTAGATAAGATCAGATCTAGTATAAATATATTATTGTACTTTTTGAATAAATATTTGCGCTGGCACACTCTCCAGTTTGGCATGTTGTTGCCAACTTAGCTGATTTATGAATTAGTTCAAAGGCTTAGAGCAATGTGTGGTAGGAGATGTTCAAAAATAGAAGATAGGAGTTATTTTGAGAATATAAATCTAAATGTGGCTGAAAAGGCACCACAGAAGTGTAAATGAAGTGCTATCAGGAGCAGCTGATGTGACTGGCTCTGGCTCTGTTTACTGCAGAAGAATGAAAAAAACAATTAAACATAAAAGTACTGTGGCATCCATAAGTATTTTGCAAATCCTATTTCAATTACAAATGTCTCAAATGTTTTGAGGCTTGGGACAGTTGCCATAAATCAGCCGTAATCCCTTGTGATGGATTATAGATGTTTTACTTCTTAGTTTAAATATTTAGTAACTAATCCTAAACCCCAGCGTTAAAATGTTGTTTGCTACATTTTCTGATTGATGTTGAGTATTGAGTATAGAGTTTTGGCATATAATGCGATAAATGTTAGTGGAATAAAAAAGGTTTATGTTTAGTGAAATAATAACAAATGTGGTGCCAATGTCTTTTGAAAGCCAAATCCCATCAGGCCTCAGCTGCTAAGCAGGGCAAGGCCTGACCAGTACAGTGATGGGAGACCACTTTACAACAGAAGTTGCAAATGTGTGTGTGCGTGTTTGTGTGTAAGATAAGATATTCCTTTATTCGTCCCACAGTGGTGAAATTTCAGTGTCATCGTTGCGCAGAGAATATGACCAGAATAAACAATAGTAAAAGTGACTAGCAAATGACAGAATTATCAGATGAATGGATACGACTAGTGAATTATTGTATTTGGGCAATGTGCCTCATAGTTTCAGGGAAAATATAAGAAAAGCTCAATGAAACAGGAGTCCAGGTGTCTGACCAGAGCACACAGAACCACAAGCATTTCAGCCCAAAAGCATAGTCATTTTTTTCCAATAAGTGACTGAAATGTTCCAGGTAAAACTAAGTTAGACCTGAGGAGTGAGGAAACAGACAGGGATTTGTTATAACACTATTTTCAACTCAAGTGCGGAGTGTGAGAGCTCAGATGTGCACAGTCCTTGGAAATGGGACACGGAACCAATCACTTCAATTTGGAATGGCATTGTAGCACTTGGTGGACATGCTTTTCTGGTCGGTCAATGTATAGTCACTTCAACACGACAGTTACTCACTCTGGAATGGCAGAGGAAGCCGGCGTACAGCAGCAGCATCGCGGGCAGCAGCACCACAGCGAACACCAGAGCCAGAATCAGAGCACAGAGTACTATGATGCACAGGTCCCACATCAGCAGCAGGACCCCCCAGGCCACGCAGCCACACCTGCCTCTGCGGCTGCCCCATGCACTGCCCCCACTGTGGGCTACGGGCGGGGGCAACATCTTCACCCCCTCCCCGATCCAGAGCTCCTCCTCTTTCTCCTCCTCCCCAGTGCCATCGTCCAAATCCACGTCCACACCGCACATCCTGGTGAAGACAGTTATTGTCACAGGCTTTTATACCAAGCGGAAAGGCCATTCAAATGCAGTTACAGTAAATTATAGAAGCTGTAATGTTCCCCAGTGTATGGCAGCAAAAAATTTGGCACATATTATGCCTCAAAGGCTTTCATTTTCCACCTCGTCACATCTGAAATAGGTTTTACCTGATTATCAATAAATGCACCTTCCCTTTCTCGGGTTTCTGAATGATGAGCAATTAGGGTTGTTTCCATAGTGACCAATCATTAACCTAAACTGCCACTTATGTTAAGATAAAGATTATGTGTTTTGAATGAGGAAAGTCCTTGAAAATGTATGAACTTCTGATTCCTGTGCATGCAACATTAGTGGGAAATCCATGCATTTAAAAAGGAAAAATCAAAATTTTTCTTGCTCACCTTATATCTCTGTAAAATCCTGACAAACTCTTATGTTAAGGGATTGTAACACATGTATAGCCATAATTCATAACCTCAGAGAGACCTAAGCAGCCCGTGTTGACTCTACGCGCATTAAAAGTCTTTCCATCACTCGCAGGATCGATACTTCGATTAAGGCTTTGTCACTGAAGTCAGGACTCAGCGCCTATTTCCATTTTGCGCAGGATCAATTGAGACCCTTTTGCCCCAAGCAAAACGGAGGAATACAGCACAGTTCATATTTTTGTGGAAACATTATTTTCGTTACGAACTAGACCAGCTTCGTCAAAAAGAATGGCATGACAAAACAAAACTAAAGATATGAAGCTTACCTTGGCTTGTCTTTACGCGCGAAAATCCACAAAGACTGAATTACATCCAAAAATACATAAAACTTCAAATCAAATCAAAGGATAATCCAAACACTGAGCGCGCCTGGGAGCGGGCGTGGGGACCGTGCGCTCCACTGGTGCTGATGCTGATGCGCGTCTGCGGGAGCGCGCACCGTGCACGTGCGCGTAACCGGAGACCCGCTGACCTGAGGACGCACTTTTCTTTTATCGTGGACACAAACAACAGCCAGGTACCGACAGCCGCCGGAAAACAGGCAACAGTGAAAGACGAGGTCCATTGTTCATCCACATGAACTCCGTCAGGATGTTTATAGTCCTGTACCGTTTGATAAGCAACAGGCCTCTACAATAAACCATGATTTAGGAAGAAAGTTTTAGAGAAAGTGTGGCATCTACTTGTATACCTTATGCTTCTCCCGCTGGTATTTTCGCGCACATACCAGAGTAAATGTGCGCTTGCCAGATAAGGAATGATTGATTTTCTTTATCTGCACAGCCACTCAACCTTAGGATTGTTCAGATGTAATTATCCCACAGCAGCAGACAGGGAGCGGGTTGGGAGTAAAGGACCAGGCGGACGAGGAATAAAGAGGGGATGGAGGGATGAAGACCACTTGCACACTTCTGCAGAGTTACTAGATCGACATACTGTAAAAACACACGAGATAGACATTTGCGACATCTTGCGGCGAGTGGGTGAATCTATCTCCAAACAGCTGCTGCCCACAGCTCCGACAGTTGTTCCTAATCAATTATATTGACAACGAGTCTGTATTTTTTTCAGCCTAATGTCTTTATTAGAATCCAATGCATAAAACCTGCATCCATCAAACTGTCTCTTATCTGTAACAGCCTGCACCAAATCCCAGATGATTGATTCACCAAACAGTCTGCAGCATTTATGGAGAAGACCAATACCAATACATTTATCTTAAGAATTGTACAAAACATCAGATCAGTGGTGGGGGTGTATTTGAATAGAACCAAAGAAGGATGATGATTGCATTTAATATTTACATTTAACCATATAGCGCTTGTAGCAAGTGTAACAGCCCTCAAGATTTCATTGCATAGATGAGGGTGCATGGGGTCACATCTCATATGTATATATATATGTATATATATATACGTATATATATATAATATAAAAAAAATACTGAAACATCCTCATAGAATTCTCCTGAGCAGGGTCCAGGGTGGAGATGCTCTCCAGGTTCTACACTGCGGTTGCCCAGTGCCGCACAGAGGGAAAGGGAGGTCAAGGACAAACGTTACCAGTCCAACATCTGATACTCAAGAAGTATTGAACACTGCCCTATTTGATCGTTTATTACATGCATGAATGTGGTGATTTTTTTGGTAAATATGATAGTCTTCAATCAATAAATCAATCAGTTTAATGACATGGAATAACACTGAGATCTGATTACTTCATGCAGACAGTCTAAACATAATTAATCACAAATATAGCTGTCAGTTTATACATTCATTTATCAAGAAAAACAATGTCTCATACTTGTCGGTTCATAACTATTGTATACATGAGTCATTGACTCTTGTTCAGTCAAACTACAACAATCTGTATAGACGACAGAAGTGTGGACTAACCTGTCAGATGCAATTAGAGAAAACTGATGAGACAATATTGTCTTGGTGCAAAAAATAACAAATTAAAGTATAGATCAGTCGTTTGTACAACTTTACTTTATACACAGGTGCATTGCAGGAACATGGATGTGGCTGGGTGTGTATAGTTGCTTATAGAAGGTGCCTACAGACCAGTTTGACACAGATAATGCTCAGTGAAGTGGAAAAAAGTAGCAGAAGGTCAGACAAATACATTTCCTAGCCTCCATCTGAAGTGTGTGGCAGCTTGTGGTGCTCTGTCTCTATTTGGACGTGTTTGTCTGCGTCTGGGAGGGAGGGAGAGTGGAGTCCTATGAGAGAATCAGGCAAAGATGGAGAGTCCAGGCCGTTGTCTGGGGAAAAGAGTTGCATTAGCGCCCCCTCGTGGCCTCCATCTTTACTGCAAGACTGGCAGCTGCAGTGGAAGATCCTCTCCACTAGTTTGTCCACGTGAGGGGATTCTTCATTGTCTGGGCAGTCCAGAGTCACCTGAGAACACATGTACAAACTGGATCACCTAAATAAGTTATGAATCGTTAAGTTACCTGTGGCTCAGAGAATAGAATTTCAAACAGCTTTGCTCTTGTACAAGTCTCATATGGCCGTGCACCAAAGTTCAGTGACATGTTAGTGCCAGCACGAACCAACTCGGACTTTGAGGAGCAGAGGGACTGGCCTCCTGCTAGTGCCCAGAGTCAGGACTAAACTTGGGGAGGCCGCATTTCAGATTTATACTGCTAAAATCTGGAACAATCTTCCTGAAAATGTGAGACAGGCTTCTTCTGACAATGTTTAAATCCAGGTTATAAACAAGTTATTTTTAGTGATTTAATATTTTGATCATTCTTTTAAATTATTTATGATTTTAATGCCTTCTGTGATTGTTTCTGTCTTGTTTTTTTCAGCATTTGAGATGCCTTGTGTTTGAATTGTGCTATACAAATAAACTTGCATTGCCTTATGTTATGTTACTTTTGCTCACAAAAAAGTTTGTACTAGTACTAGCACTAGATCTTTTTTTCAGTATGATGAGGTGAAACAGACATAAACTGGAGCCCTGGAGTTTATGTCTAGGGCGAGATGGAGGACTACTGAAGTTAATTACAGGAATAACATTTTTTTAAATATATAAGAAAATTTTAGTTGAACATTTGTGCGAAGCCAGGTCTGTGTACAGTGTCCTAGATTCTTCTACTTTAGCTGCTAAAGGACTGATTGTCAGTATAACAATTATATTCATACAGTGCTTTAAAAAACAAATACATAATAATAATTTACAATCATTTGATATATTATGGTGATACTGTGCGTGTGTGAGTTCTTAATAACATGTGGTTTGGGGTGGGTCTGTTGGGTGGTCGGGAGGAGGGGTCATCGGCCGACAGGATTGTTTTTAACCAAACTGTAAAGCACTTTTTTGCATCTTCTGTATAAAAGGGCTTCATAAATAGAATTTGATTGATTGATTGATTAATAAAAATACTGTTACAGCTGCCCAGATAGTGTGGCTGCTTATCTACATGCTAACCCACCAACAACCACTCACCCTCAGATTTATACAAACACATGTGTCAGGCTTCAGCCGTTTTCTTTAATGATCAATAATTCAATCCAGCCTATTAAATGTTAATGCTGATCATTGTATTGTATTGTGGGCACAACTCCACAGAACAGCTGTTATATTTTATTATAAGTTGCAATGTCCAAACAGAAAATGCTGCATTTAATTATTTAGGCAAAATCCTTTCCTTTACAAAAATTAAAATATCTTGTCTCGTGTAAAAAACCAAATACTTTGAACTAAGTCATATAAGTTTTGATTTCAATGTACTTTTGTAGTTTTCAATAGTACTTCAGCACAAAGTCAAGGACAGTAGCACTATAGTCTATATTCACGTGAGAAATGACTAGTTCTTTTAACTATAAAAAAAAATAGTCACGATCAACATTACATACTTAAATGTTTGTGTCTCTCCAATACGAATTCTCCACGTGAACTTGGAATACCAGCCTGCTCTCAAAACAGACATCGCAGATTGAATCAATAACACACTGCTTATCTCATTAAAAGAAGTCTTGCACATTTCTCCAAAATTCAGCCCTATCTACAAGTCTTTACCATCACATCTCCCTAACCCTAACCCTTTCTTTCTGACAACTTTAATAATCATTCTCACCACGCAAACATATTTTGAAATGATGTCTCAGAATGCAGAATTCTGAATTCTCAGAATTCTGTTATGTTTGACGCAAGTGAGATTTGCTTCTGCAACTGTATCTTGGCCGTGAATTATTAAATGAATTAATGAATGAATTATTAAAAGCCAGAGTTACAGTTTTTTAAAAGAAAAAAAATAGTTCTGTTAAGCTGCGCATTCAATTAAGGGATTTATCTTTACTTGTTTAAATGAATTTTGAGCATTTATGATTTGAATGTGACTGTTGTTATCCTGTTTTGTTAGGGACTTTTGGTTGCCTTGTGTATGAACTGTGCAATACGAATAAACTTGCCTTGCCTAAACACCTCTTTCTCATTTATTATTAAGATTCAGGCTTTTATTACAAAGTGAATCAGGAACCTTGTTAGCACCAGACTCAAAAGAGCTAAAAACAGTACAACTCAACACAGACAGGACTGGACTGGTCAGAGTCCACATGGGGAGAAATTCTGGCACATTCTTCCTGAAAATGTGAGACAGGCTTCTTCTCTGACAATGTTTAAATCCAGGTTAAAAAACAGTTCTCTTTAGCTGTGCATACAACTGAGGGATTTTATATTTACTCTTTTTAATGTTGGGATTATTCATGATTTTAATGCCTTGTGGGATTGCTTCTTATGCTGTTCCGCACTTTGAGTTTCCTTGTGTGTCTATTGTGCTATAATGAACAAACAAACAAACTTGCCTTTCCTGGCCTAAACAGACTAACAAAGGTTCATACACACAACTATTCTGAGAGGTTAGAAAGATCCACTTCCAGCGGCATCTCTTATTGAATTTGCGGTAACTCTTAACAAATGGAAAATGAAGGCCCCTCCGCTGCTCAAACCACTCCAAACACATTGCAACACAGCCTTTCTCTTGGCGTTATCCAGTGAAAATGATAGCTCAGCAACTTTATTAAACCAACCACCAGAGCCAAACCAGCGTGAAGCCAGATCGTCTTTCAAGCAGCTCGAGATTTGTGACTTTTCCTGCAAAATTCACTTCAAGTCTTCCAATAACAGTAACACCACAGACAAAAACAATCTCAGTCTGTTTCCTTTACAGGCTGCACAAAAAGAGCAATTACTGATATTAAACGACGCAGACTGGACACCTTCTGTTTGCTCTTTGTCGTGAAACTAAATCAAACTTTCTCCTTAGTCCCGGAGTTCATTAACGTTATTCTGTGATCGGAAAAGACTGCAATAAAACAACTGTTGATCTACGACAGAGCAGCTGTGGCAAAGAGGCTTCATCCATCACCGTTGTTTGACATAGAGTGGACATTTTATTTGAAATTGACTTGTAACAACCGTCTTCTCTCATCATTACCCACCTTTAAACTGTATTTGGACTGAAGCGTGTATGTTTGTGTAATCCTGCAGTGCTTTGTTTGAGGCGCGGTTGAGTGCTCAGAAAATATAACATTTTTCATCTTCTCTCGACCTCTGCAATCGCTCTATAATAAAAAGTTGAAAGTTGTGGTTCCTAACTTTCCAACTATGTAGCTCCCATTCAGTGTATTTTATTTACACACCACACATTTTTGGTGTGTAAATAAAATACACTGATTGGGAGATACATAGCTGTGCGGATTTTTTTCACTTACATTTTTTAAATCCAGCACGCTAGCTCAAACTACAGGGATGTGCGGCCTTATTTGAAACTTTGTTCCTAACTTTCCAACCACAAGAAATTAAACTATCAAGCGTGGATTTTTGTTCTCTGTCACATCTTTAGATCCGCTTTTATTCACTCAGCCAATCAGCTCTCAGCACAAAGCATCACACTCAGAGTTCTTTATTACAAGTTTCCAAAACAGGGGTCACCAACGCGGTGCCCGCAGGCACCTGGTTGCCCGCAAGGACCAGATGAGTCGCCCGCTGGCCTGTTCTAAAAATAGCTCAAATGGCAGCACTTACCAGTGCTATTCTTGTTTAAATCATACTTACATGCAACTTACAAATGGCATATAAACTAGAGCCGGGACTTTAACAAGTTAATAAAGATTAATTAATTACACACAAAAAAGCGCGTTAAAAAAATTACGCATTTTAATCGTATGTATTTTTGCACCGCGGAACGTTCCTCACTGAATAAGTTTCAGACGGACCAATTGAACTGACGCACCAACCGGAGCTCCGTGACTTTTCTTGTTCAAAAGTACATTATTACAAGCAGAGACCAACTTTAAATTCGAGTAAATTAGACGGGAATGAGCGCTGTGTATGGAGCGATGGACTCTGTGTGTGAGGAGGAGGAGCAGTGACTCCTGTGTGAGCGGAGGAGAAGGAGAAGGAGGAGCGAGACACAGGTGTGTGAGCTGCTAATGCTGATGTTTACTCCGAATGCACACATCAAAAACGTATTATAAAAGCTTTAGCAAACAGCGCATGCCCAGCTTTAGTGCTCACAGCGTGTGCAATGGATTTTGGGCTTAAAAAGAGTATGTTGTCGTCAGTGTGAGGAGGAGGAGGAGGAGCATATGTTGTCGTCAGAGTGTGGAGGCAATGACAGAAACGTTATTTGATGTTTAGAAGTTATCCCTTAAACTCCATATTAACATGTGTTGCTTAAGCCTCATGTATTCAGTCATTATTCAATGGTAAACTAAAAATCCATGTGAAAAAAATTACTTCTCACTGTTCTCAGGTCAAATATTTATATGCGATTAAAATGTGATTAATTGCGATTAAATGGGACTGTCTTAGAAGTGATCATTTGTTAAATTTGAAAAATGTGCACTTAGAGAAAATATAAAAGTTTTTCCACAAAATAAATATCATTAATTATTAGTAAAAACATAGAATTAAAGGTAAATTGAGCAAATTGGCCATATCTGGCAATTTATTTAAGTGTGTAACAAACTGGTAGCCCTTCGCATTAATCAGTACCCAAGAAGTAGCTCTTGGTTTCAAAAAGGTTGGTGACCCCTGATCCAAAAGATTAATGGATACTTTTATCTAAGAAGAAGGAAGCATGTTGTGGTCTGATTAGTTCATTTTCACTGAAATTTCCCCATTGTGGGACAAATAAAGGACCTTCTTCTTTACACCGACTGAAAAACTGCCTCACACTGACAACCCTGAGTTAGGTACCCCAACTTTAATTACTTTTAGATCATGTGATTTACAAAGACTAAAACAATAATCCGTGAACATTAGAGAGCAGGGAAGCATCTGTTCAATTCCGATGTACTTTTACAATTGGATTTAGAAAATATATATATAATTTTGCAGAATTTATATTTTTTAATTAGTATTAAGGCACATTATATTTTTATTTTTCGATCTAAATATGTGACAGAGGCCTAGTGATGGAACCAAAACAGTTTTGAGCTAAGAACTAGTTACATGGACTTTATTACATAGTTAATGTTGTGGTTTTAAAGTTAGAGCTGCCAGCTTTAGTAATAACCACTTCAAAAAGCCTATCTTTGAGTTATGAAAGAAAACACAAACGAAATATTTTTTGTTTGTTCTCTCCTTCTTTTACCCAAGTTACTCAGGAAAAAAAGAGTAGTTCAATCTGGAGTGAAACATGAGGTAACTCCACCTGTGGTCTGAGCTGGCGCCGCTCCAAGCCGCATACCCCTCACCATGAAACCTTTGTTATCGGCTGGATTCTTTCAAACGCAACACTCGCTGAACTCTGGGACACCCTGATCTGCTCTTTGCAAGATATAACTCAAATAGCCAGCGCCGGGTGCATGCTCAACATCTGTCAAACCAGTTGAGTGTGAGTTTTACAAGTGATTCTCGGGGTTCTCACCACTTCCCACTGCGTCTGCGCGGGCATGCAGGAGTCGCAGTGGACCAGCGACTCCGTGGACTGTGGGAACGTGTTGGGAACGCTGTAGCTGAAGCACTGGCCCAGGCACGCTCTGCAAACAGGGAGAGGAGACGTGCGGAAATGAGCAAAGACTGAGAGGGACATTCACTTTAAATGCCCTTTAGCAGATAAAAACATAGTGGAATATTTGTGCAGAAAATACCCAGTGAGCACCATAAACAAAACACAGAAATCTATACACAGGTGAGGGTTAGGGTGAAACTCTGCAAGTCAGAGAAGTCTAAAAGTCAATTAATTTTTTTGTAATATTTGTTTTGTGTTGATGATTGGCTCACAGATTGTACAAATACAAATACAAAACACCAATGGACTGTAATCCATAATCATCAAAACTATAACCAGCACATGTTGAATGTAAATGTATATCATACGTTGTTTTGGTATGTTAAGTTGAATTAATAAATTAACTTTTGAAGGACATTCTAATTTCCCCCCATATACTGTATGTGTGTGTGTGTATATATGTTTGTATAGACATTAGGGGTGGGAACCTAAGTGTACCTCACGATACGATACGATACACGATACAAAGCTCACGATAACGATAATATCACGATAACGATAATATCACGATAACGATATCACAATAACGATTTTATCACGATACGACGATTATTGATATATTGGTCAGAAATATATAATATGCCAATTTATGGCATAAATAAAAGAAAAATGACTCTTTATTTTATGATAAATGGAATGGAGATGCGTAATGTAGCCTTATATTAAGTGTTGATACCAATTAAAAAAAAAAAATTGTAAAAAATAAAAATAAAAAAAATATTTCAAATATATATATATATATTTTTCTAAATCGATATCGATACTTGGCAAATGCATATCGATAATCAAATCGCGGGAGAAAGTATCGCGATATATCAAAAAATCGATATATCGTCACACCACTAATAGACATGGATATAATTTGCCACATGTTTATTGAAAGGCCTTAACTATCAAATTCCTCTGGGGTTAGAGTCATTAGAGAGTAGGTTTATTTTAAATTTTCTTTAAGAGAAAGCCAGTTACTTTTCAAATGGTAAAGATTGAGAAGTGTAATCCTTCATAAAAAGCTAAGGTCCCTCAGCAATGGTCTAACTATTCTCCTCCAGCAAATCTGACTGGTGATGTCTATTCCAAGGGGAGGGACCGTCATATGGACAAAAATCTGTATTTTCTAAAAGAAATCCAAATAAAGTCTCAGGCCTTTTTCTAAGTGACTGATTTAATCGATTTGAGAACATTGTGGTTGAGGCGAGTTACAGTTATTGCATTATATATATATTTTTTAGACAGACTGAACAAATACAGACATACACATATGAAAACAATGTACACTGGGAAAGAAGATTTTAAGACAAGCACATACTAAAAGCAATAAAGTGCTAGATCAACCAAAGTGCTCCGTTCTGCCTGGAACAGCACATGGAAACTGTTTGACAGTGGTGTGATAAGTTCCTTGTGTCGGCCGTGGTCAGAGAAATAACATTTGATTTGATTGTGAATCTGCAATAAGAACAAGCTGTAGGGAAAATATGATGCCAGTGGACGAGAGTGCGGACGTGGATTACTCACATCAACTCATCCATTTTTAAATAATGCAGACTTTTAAGCGGTGAATACGTTTTATGACTCTCACAGAGCTGTCGTGACTGCAGGAAGAAATGAAAATACTAAACCTGTAATTTTAACAAACAACCATTTTGTTAATTTGTCTGAGATGTTCTCGAGTCCCATCGTTTTAACTAAGTTTATGTCAAATCCGTTTTCTAATCCTATATTTACAGAACATTGTGATCCAAACAACAAATCAATGAATAAAATGAATATTCTACCAACTAATGTCAATTCAAATCAATTGTCAAAATAGTAAATACACCAATTCCTTTGTTAAGAATCGTAATCTTCAGAAAATTGTAGCTTATAGTTTGCAATCATATGTTTGGAGATGATGATACAGCCTCTGGCAAAACAACAAACACAGGCAGGGAGTTGGTCTACCGAACCTCTATCTCAGATTTTAGGTGCTCCAAATATTTTTTCATTTAAACCTTATTATTGTTAAGGTTTTTTGTTTTGTTGTTGTTTTGATTTGATAGATTTGTATGATTACTTATCTCTTGCTTTTACCAGGACTTAATGGAATGCTTTGACTTGTTTTCACGATTCTGTCTTACCTGTGAGTTCCTTTTCAATATTATCATTTGGATTGTGAGTTTCTTGGGATTGAACTATGCCCCTACCCTCTGTGCACCACATAAAACATATAATGACAAAGTAAAGAATAATCTAACTCAACTTAAAACCTTAACAATAACGTTTTAGCCTTTTTCACTTCAATCCAAAATCCTGAATAAATGGGTAAAATCATGTTTTATTTTCACAACAGAAGTCATGAGATCAAACAGTATTTACCACACTGTGATCCAAACTTTTCCTTTAGTTCCACTGAATCCCAGACGAACACGTACGACCCCAACAGACACCACTCCATACCTTTCTCATTGTCAGACACAGACAGAGGGGGCATTGAGGCTGACCTGTTTTGGATGGAGCGCGGCTGGCAGCCTGTGTGCCCTACGATTTGGGTTATGTCCTTGGCCTCGCACCAGGCGCTCTTGTCAGGGAACAGGGCCAGACGGTTGATGTGCGTGGGGGGCGGCGCGGCGCGGGACAGAGCGAGCAGGACAAACAGTGCACCGCAAATCTGAATGCTCTCCCACATGACTGCTCCTCCTGCGGGCACAGAGACAACGTCAGTCACACCCAGCAGATGAGGCGGAGAGTGCGGGCAACAAGCATGAGCCAGACTGTACCCATTATTACAGATATTATACTGTTTTAAGTCTCTTTATGTGCAAAACTTCATTGTCATACACACTGTAATTTGTAAAGTTTGTGGGTGCTTTGTAAAAGAGAACTCCCAGGAAGGTGCATTTTCTTGCTGGACTCCAAAATAACAATATAAATGTTGTATTATATCTTTATTCAATCCTAAACCAAATTCTAAACATTTACTGTGAAAGCTTCTCGTGTTAAAGCTGAGGTATCTGACTCAAACAGTAACTATGTATAATAAAACAATTCATCCAAATTCCTCACTCTCAAAAACAGTTTGGTTCTCGCCCAAATTTCCATGTGTTTTTTTTTGGTCTTTCCACTAAAACGATTTAATGTTCAATATGGGTTTTTATTTCTTTCAAATTTACTTTATACAATAAACAGGATTCAACCAAATAAACTGCAATCCACAGTTTGAAAAGGGGTTGGACCAAGAAGACACCTATTTGGTTCAAATCCCTCTCACTCATTCAAAACGCACGTGCGCGCGCAAACACACACACACACACGCACACGCACATTTTGAATATGAAAAGATATGAAAGAGAGGACCACCCTCTCTCAGCCAATCAGCTCAGCACAAATGTCCAATAATGACTCACAGAGCTTTCTTATATAGATAATATGTTTAAAATACAGACAGTATGTGGTGGTTGGATTTATTCACAAGGTTTTACAAGACTCACGTTAGGATAAAAAAAAAAAACATGGATTAGTTATAAAGGAAAACAGTCTGTGTGTCATGTGCCACAAATAATCCAAATAATCCAGGTAAATTCACAATTGGAGAACACATTGTTGCACGTTGGTTCTGTTCTGTTTTGAGTACATTTGTATGCTATTTTGTCAGTTTTGGTTTTCCTCTGTTTTTGGCATAAACATCTGTTAAAATTCAGTTGTATGTCTGTATCTACAAAGAAACGGGATTGAAAAGTATGTTAATGACAACATGACACCCACAGAAAAGTGAACCATCTGAGAATCTTCTTTTATAATCTTTAAAAATGCCTTTCGCCCTCACGTCATTAACAGCCAACAAAATGGTTTTCTCCTGCTGCTTATAAAAGTGGCAGAGCTCACCCACGTCTTTTCAACACCCTCACAAAAAGTTCATGAAAATATTATTTGACAAGTTTGAATTTCACCTTTTGAAACCACATGTTTAACAAGAATTGTGTGTGTGTCTCTTGCTAAATAGATTAGGAAGAACAACATGAAATCAAGTTAAACAAAATATGATTTTACTTGTTTTAAATGCAGAAGGTGTATTTATGTGCCTTGTTTTATCACAGCCCAACATTAAAGTTTACAACTGTTTAAAAATTTTGAAAATATAGTCCTAACCTTTATGGAATATCTCCCCAACATATCATTTCCAAAAGTCTATGTAACAGTGTGATTTTAAGCAGATTCATGTTGCTGAGTGGAGGCTACCACTCAACCGTAGTTTTAAAATAAAAATGTCCAAAGTCTTGACAAGTGCCAACTTCCTCACCGAGAAAACTATATTTGTGCCAATAAAAACTTCATTACCCGCTTTGATGAATAGCAGCTGCATCAGAACTCCAACCAGCTATGCTAAAGTGACGCCAGTAGTAAAGTAGGCGAGTATTAATACTATAAAACAATATCTAAAACTAATGCAGAACGAAGCGGTCCGAACGCACTCACCTGCGCTCAGACGAGTTTACGCGCGATGTCCCGCGGGACGAACGTCTTTGTCTTTCTGTCCTACCGCCGCTGACTGAAGACAAACTCCTGAAGCAGAGTCCGGTTCTGGTGGGTCATAGTTACATCATACTGAGGGCAGAAGAAGCGTGTGTCCGTGAGGAGGATGGAGCCCGAACTGCGAGCGCGTCTCCAGCCGCAGTGCATCACGTCCGCGCCCCTCCCCTCTCCTCTTCCTCCCCTCTCCTCTTCCTCCCCTCTCCTCTTCCTCCATGTGTCTCATGTGAAGCACAGACTCTTCTTTAGTTGTAAAACTCTTTTGCAGCTTGGTTTAGGTGCGGCTGCAGCGCAGGACCGGGCTCCTGCTGCGTCGGTCCTGGACCAGAGTAAAGTGTAAAACTTCAGACAGAAGGAGGCGGCTGCATGTGAACATAACCTGACAGTGCTGTGTGTAGGCATGGATCTATTATTGAACAGCTGGGATTCAGACTTAAACTGTAAAATGGGGGAAATTATAACCAGAATAAAAATGCTTAAACAAAAACACATGAGACTCTGACTACAACTACATCTATAAATACTTTTGGTATAGAATCCATTTGTAAATCAAATATGGTGCCACGACCTTAAGTGGCCTTCATACTTCAAGACTAAATGCATGTCTATCGTCTTTATCAGTTGATAAAAAAATAAAATGAACACTAGAACTCTGCAGTCAATTTTTTGACGTTATAAAGTGTAATTACTCCGCTTATACGCTTTTGGTAACTTTGTGACTTTTTCTGTTTCTACATGTAGTTTACTTATAATAATAATAATAACTTTATTTATAGAGCACTTTAAAAACAACACAGTTGACCAAAGTGCTGAACACAAGTAAAAACACAATATAATATAGAAACATATACAAGAATACAAATTGCACAGAAAGTCAACCCACTGAGTTAAAAGCCAAAGTAAAAAAATGAGTCTTAAGAAGCAACTCAAAAACAGGAAGTACTTCTATGTCAAGCATGCATTAGAGTGAACCTGTATAAATCAATTGAATAAAAAAAAAATCAAATCCTTTTTGGGGGGATTTTTTTTTTCAGAATTCCATTTATGTGAATGGGAGCCATCAAAATGACTGCTCTGGGAGCTCTAGAAATGTCATAATTCTGGGATTATAGTGTTAAAAGTCTTTGGAATTGAATCCCGTTAAAGATTCTGAGCTAACATTGTCTGTTGGTTTATCATGGACTATGGAACACAAACAGTCCACAGAGAGGTATGTAAACGCTCCAGTCTGCACAGGACCAGTTTTATTGGACCCACTTTTAATTTAACTGCAGCCCTGACTATTAGCTCAGTAATTATGATTCATTATGAAGAGTCGCTCTCAGACAGGCTGAGACAGGTGTAGCCTGTGGGGCACTGGCAGCCCATGATCTACCCTGGCTGTCAACGTCCTCTTGTTCACAGGTGTTCAGTCTGGCCTGGGTCCAGAATCACTCCCATCAGTTTCACACTTCACTTACAACCAAATATGTTAATGGACAGGGGCTTAATTCTCCGACAGGCTCACTCTGCACAGTTATGTGTCAAGCTGCCAAAGCTACAAGCAATATTAAGGTATGAAGGGTAGGGGTAGATTGTATTGTTTGCAAAGAATGTACTGTGTTTGAATTGCTGAGAAAACTGTGACAGAAAGGAAAATATGAGCAAGCGGTGTGTGTAATGTTGAGACGTGCAAAGTGCAGGACTCACCTGTTAGTAATAAGACCGAGCTCCAGTCCAGAAATGGTATTCTTCTGCATTCCTCGGATTTTGTTTCACCAGGGGGCTGGATACGCGCTCACACAAACAATCCCTCTTCTCTCCTGCAGCTTCCAGAACACACTTTATTCACGCACTGTACGTGATCAATCACTCCCATAACAGAGCTGAGCCTGGACTCTCGGCCAATGAACACAGGGTCCAGAGCCAGTGACACTGATAGACGACCGCTGTGACCTACACACGTCTCACTAACAGATGATGATCCTGTTGGAGAAATCTGACCTGTATAGAAAACTTTATTAACAATAAATAGTTATAAGAGTAAGATATTAACTAATCCCCATCTCTTGATTCAAAAGTACATATTATCTGTTGTTCTGTTGGCAGTGAGGTCAGCTGATAGATCCGCAACATGTTTTCTACAAAATCTGTGTCAAAGGACAGAAAACTACAAGTTCAGATAGAATATTGTATCAGAGTTGTATCGGAGTAAGAACGTGTAAAGACAGGCCTTGAGCCGCACATATATCCATTTAATGTCTAGTCATTTCCTCATCCAGGTCAGACTCCAGGTGGAATGGGTGACCGACGAATCTGGTCCCTTTTTATTTTTATATCTGCAAATATAATAATGAATAAACTCACACTTTGATTGTATTACAGCTCTTGATTGTTTTCAATGTTTTTGCTCTCGGTCTGTTTAGAGATTCCACAACGCTCAGGCTTTGGGCTGTCACTAAGGCAAGATCTTTCACAATACAATGATTTATTGTTTACTTTAGGATTGATAAGAAATACGCCCACTAACACCGTTTTTAATACTACAGCACACTTTTTACCAAAGCCCTGATTGTGGTTTAGAATATCGTCAAAAGTATCAAGTGTCAAGTACTAAAACTAGTACCAAAGCTAGATACTAATTTGAGTAAGTATCAATATTAAATCTAATTACATGAACAGGTCACTTTCTTGAAAATGACTTCCAATTCCATTCCAATACCAGACACACTTAGGTATAACTCCTTGTGGTCTCATAAAAAAGTAATATCATTTTGAGTTAAATTTCATCTTATTGTCCAAAAAGAGCATTTATATGAAATTGACTTTGTATTAAGTACTTTTTCTAGTAACTGCTATGTCCCTTATAATGATATTGGACATAAAACATCTTGCACAGAAGAGACCATCTTTTATCTTTCAACATGTTTGCACACTTCCCAACCCGAGTGATACTATTTATGCCAAATGTGACTAGTACATTTATTTCCCATGGAGCGATCAATAAAGTCAATCTTATTTTAGAATCAAAATACAGTTCAAAATGTAGTATTGTGAAAAAAACACTTGTTAGGCACCAAATCAGTATCTGCCATGACATGCATACCACAACTCATTCAAATAGATCTGTGTATGTTTTTACACCAACACACTCTCAAAGCAATCAATCACAATATGCACAACAGTAGTTTCCTTCTTATTACTCCACATTCCCTCAGATCCAGTTAGCTTTTCTGCCTGCACATATTAAGTTACAAGAGGGTGTAGAAAAGCCAATTCTGGAGATCAAAGAGGAGCGTGTATGACTTTCACTTTGCGACTTCAAACTGGAACAAGCTGTCTCATTGAAACATGTCCCCGGGACTTGGCGTATATTCTGTTAGCGCCTGTTTACAAGTGTAACAACAAAGGATTTAAAACGCTTCCTGTCTCAAAAGCGAGAGAAAACATGAAAGCGCCATTATTCTTTGCGAATAACATTAACCTTGTGTCTCTCTCTATTTGACTTTTTTTCCATCTTTGGCTGAAACATTTCTCTCTCCCTCTTTATAACCGGACTGCAGATGCTAAATCTGGCCCTGGTTCTAAAACAGCAGGAGTTTTGGGTCTCCGAGCTCATTAACACACCAAATTACCTCGCGCTTTCCAAACCATGTTCTTTCTTCTCAAACACACACACACACACAAGAAGAGAAGGAGAAAGTCCCCTCGTTTCGGGTTTTTATTAAATATATTTACAGAGGCCTTCTTTCGACCGCTGCACCGTTGAGGACATGGATGTTAAGGCATAAGGGAGCAGCCGAGACTGGATGAGGAAGTGTTATGAATTTACTGGTCCTAAAATGAAATAGAAATGACATCATGAGCTATTGAACTGACCATCTGAGGAAAAGTGTAAACAAAATACTTCAAAAAGGTTCATTTTGTCTTTAGTGGGTCTTTTGAAAGGCATTAAATTAAATACATTTGATTAGTTGTTATTTGTAGACATTTATAATTATTTTACATCATAATAGTAGTGCTATCTTGATAACACAAACATATCCTCTCCTTGCGCAATACCAACAACATAAGGCAAAAATCTTTCATCGACCTGTGTGCAGAGCTTTGAACATTTCAAAGAACATTTTTTCATTTTAAGGCAGTCATTTTTTCCTCTTGTTTTATGTGAGAATTTGCTCTAAACTCACATTAGATAATTTTTATAATCTACAGTACTCAAACCAATAATATGAGTTCTTTAAGAGAGATTCCATTGAAATGATTATTCAAAACATTACATAATTTTTGTTAAAGTTAAAAGATTAAATAGTTTGCATGTAAAAAGTGAATTTTGTTTTTGTGCGTTTAAGGCTTATGAGGTTAATTTAATAAAAAAAAAAAGTGTGAAGAAGTCTCTGACGAAGGCGGAAGTGTCTACCCCCAACGACAGGTGGCAATGGCAGTACCATCTTCTTTACACTTTTGTCTAAATAAAAGAACCTTATACACCCAAACATCCAGTCTGTAATCCAACTGTAGAACTCTAGCAGCACAAAAGGAAACATCCCCATTCAATGTTCCCTTTTTTGAAAGAGCTCTGGCACCGGTACATGTTACAACATTTATTCTGTAGCCCCGCTGGCTTCATTATTTTTTTTAAATGATATACGTTATCTATTTTTTGTTGTTTTTCTTTTACTTTTTTTAGATTTTAAATTTAATTTTACATTATCATTTTTTGTTTATTTTCTCCTTTTTTTTCTTTCAAATACCTATGGTCAACTCTGCCGATGCTTTTAAAAAGGGACTAAAGACACTTCTTTTTAGGGCAGCTTTTGGTTGATTTCTTGTTTTTATGTAAATTTCTATTCTATTCTATTTCTATTGTATATAGGGGTGGGAACCTAAGGGTACCTCACGATATGATACAATACACGATACAAAGCTCACTATAACGATAACGATTATATCACGATATGACGATTATTGATATATTGGTCAGAAATATACAATATGCCAAGAAAAAGAAATATTTTAAGTGAAAAAATACACTTTATTTCACGATAAATGGAATATATATATATTTTTTCAAAATCAATATCGATACTTGGCAAATGCATATCGATAATCGAATCGCGGGAGAAAGTATCGCGATATATATCGATACCGCGATATATCGTCACACCCGTATATACATATCCGCTTTTACCTTGTACAGCACTTTGTGATTTTTATCTGTGAAAGGTACTCTATGAATAAAATGTACTTACTTACTTACTTACTAACACATAAATTACAAAAACGAACCTCGTAAGCCTTGAAGTACTTTGCTTTGTGCACATTTAGTCTGCGGCATTCACCTTAACCGCGGCGCCTTGAACCAGGTGCAGGGCTCTGAAGTCATGCTGGCAGTTGGCGTAGCCCATGCCGAGCCCCAGTCCTGAACCCAGCGCAGTGGGCCATGTGCGTCCTGTAGGAAAAACACACATTACTGTGGATGTTCAGAAGTGTGAACAGGAGTGACCTGGATTAGGAGTTACGCAACACCTCCTGGAACTGGATGTGGTTAGGGTTAAAATACATGTTATACTACTGTTTCTAAATTCATCACAACCGTCAAATATGTTTCATTTTAAGTCAATCGGTATAAGGATTAAGAGAAATATCAGTGTTGCATCACAAGTTACTGAACAGAAGGAATGAGGAGCACACTGCACAAGGTAAGTGAACAATAACCTATGTACAGAAACATAACTAAAACCTCTAACTTTAGCATAATAACACAAGAATTGAGGATAAATCTATGATCTTTGAACCTCAGTTGAAACGAAACACAATGTTTACATCTTTGTTTATGTAGATTGCTCTCTTTGAGACTAGTTCCAAATAATGTAATCACAGTAATTTGTTTTTATATGTACTCTTTGCTGAGAACAAAGCCAGGTACCAGGTAACTGCCAAACCTCAAAAATATAACTAAGAAAAATAAATCCACCTAATAAGTTTGTGACTCTTAAAACAGTTTGTGTATATCACTGTAAGTTTGGGAAAAACTACGTGTTAAATATGAAACTGTAGTTACATAATGACAAATAGATATGAGGTATTGCAATGGATGTGTGCATTTTCTCTTTTTATTAACATTATTCATACAGGATGCAAAAAAAAAATTGTAATTTTTAAAAGATGTGTTAGTACAATCAAAGAACTTACGCTTAAAGAAGAGGACAGAGAACATAAATCCAACTCCAAGGCCAATCACTGTGAATGAAACATATACGTTAAAAAAATCATAAAAAGGGTAAATAACAGAATAGTGAGCGTGTCAGCAGGTTCTTTGTGTTACAACACAGGGGCGAAGACTAGATTCTCAAAAAAGAGGGCTTCGTTCTTTAAAAGTAAGTTTATACTGCAGCATCATCGCTGTCTTTTTTGAGAATGAAGTATATTAAGTGTTGCAGGGCTGGATAGTGACCAAGGATATCACAACATTCCAATAAATACAAATGCAATTGAGAGTCCATCAAATCACTCTCTGAAGAAAAAGCATGTCACATTAATATTACCAAGCGTCATTTCATTAAACTAAGGACCTTTGAATGAATACTTGTGTTCCTAAGAGGCGCATGAAAGACGACAGTAGGTAAAGTCAGGTTTTGGAGGTGGGTGCTGGTTCTGGTCAGAAGGCGTCGGATCTGCAGAAGGAATGTGTTTGTGCTTGAACTGTACCTCACTGCAGACCTCACCACACCCAACAGCGGCGCTCACCAAAACACACACACAAACAGCGATTTGGGCCCCTCCAACTCTTAATTGGATTCAGAGAGCTATGCGGCATGACCGTTTAGCCTGAACCAGAACTGCCAGACTGTTCTACATTACACAAATTACAAATGTCAAACAAGACCACATAAGATTTGCAGAAATCCTCTCTATTGGAGAAAAGAATTGTCCGGCCAAAAACTACTTTGTTCAATCCCTCTGCGCAGTCTTGAGTCCTGAGTCAAAAACATGATTAAGATTCAGCATTGCACCACCAGAACCGACATTTTAATAAAAAAATACTGTTATAATGACTATTGTTATTATTATTGTTGTTGTGAAATGGTTTTATAATAATAATAATAATACATTTTATTTAAAAGCGCCTTTCAAAACACCCAAGGACACTGTACAGGACATAAAAAACATAAAAAACAGGATCAACAGAATAAAACAGTAGTGCATTATGGGATGGTGGGTGCGAGTGTGTTAGGTGGGGTAGGACAATCTGAACAGATGGGTTTTGAGTCTGGATTTGAAGAGTGGAAGAGAGTCAATGGTACGGAGGTCAGGGAGGAGAGAGTTTCAGAGCTGGGGGGCAGAGTGGCTGAAGGCTCTGTGTCCCACGGTGATGAGTCTGGCTGGGGGGACGGAGAGTGTGCGGGCAGGAGTGGCAGGGTGGAGGAGGTCAGATAGGTACGGAGGGCCCAGGTTGTGAAGTGCTTTCAAAGTGGTGAGGAGTATTTTGAAGTTGATGCGTTGTTAATTTCAAAATACTATCAATGCATAGTTAGTTATTGCTAATACTTAATGTTTAAAGTAACATGATTTTCAAGCAATGTTACAAATCAGGTTTGCAGAGAGGCAGGTCTGCTCAGGCTGGAATGAATTCAGAGCAAAAGACTCTTGTTAGCTTTTTAAAGTAGAAAATAATGTAATAAGCCTTTACTTACACTATTAGTCATTAAATAATAACACCTAATAACTCCTTGTTGTGTGATCTGTTCTGTGGTACTTTTTATTTATTTATTCCATTATCATTGGAATTTGACAGAAAACTTTGGGATAACAACTCCTCAGGCTTCATTTTCAATACCACGTGTTCGTTAACCGACCTGTCTTTGAGGTGTTGTTGACATATATCATAGATTAATTCATAGATTTATAAGCAGGAACATGCAGCACTGAGTTAAGTTTATTTTGTTTTATTCGGGTTTATTCAGTGGCTAAAGAAGCTGCAGTGCATGGACCGCTGAGACCCGGACAGCTGCACGCACGCACGCACGCACGCACACCAAACTTAACCGGACTATGCACTCAACAAGTATGCTTTCTAACGCAGCTAAAAGTTTGTTTCAAGAGAATACGAGGATAGAAAACCTGTTTTAACACCGGTGTCCGCCAGGCAGCGATCCCACTGTCTCCCGTGAGCCTCTGCCATGTTTCAGCAGCAGTATCGCGAGACTTTACAAGGTCTCGTGTATTAGGAATATTTACAGTCTGATTAGGTCTCAAAGATTAGATGAATCTATAATGACGAGTAACTGTTACTAGTTACTAGAAAAGGATTCTACTGGGACTCTATATTAATGAAAAACCTGAAATCTGTTTACATTAGTGTTTTATGTCTGTTCATTGACATGCACAGCATTCAAATAAATAAAGAGTTTTGATTAAAAATGATAATGCATACATAAACCCCACATATGATTATGTTCCAGACAAGATGTTTGTGTCCTTTTTTCATGAAACTGTTCAGTGAAAATGACATAGGAGTCCTTATTACAAAAACAGTTTTTATAATAAATAACACAATCATAAACAGGTATTGGCGTCTTAGAGGCCAATACCTTTAAAATATATATAGAAATATAATATATATATTTATATATATACAACCTTGTTCTTTTTTTTATGAAGTTTTTAATTGTAATTGAAAAGGCTGTGTTCATGTTGTAAAATTCCATGTCAGTTGGACGGCCAACACAACTCAGAATCAGACACCGAATTATTTGTATTGCTATAGGTTCTGGTTCAGATGGACCATAGCCTCCTGCCTGAGGGAAGTTGGTGCATGGAATAGACCATGTACAGGGTGAGAGGGGTCACACTCTATACGGGAAAGAAGCAACTTTTTAGATGAACTATTAAAAAAAGGGCCAAATGTTTTCCCAGATTATTATTTGATAGTCATTATATTAAAAAACCCACCACATTATTCATGTGTCTGAAAAAACCTTTCCGCTGACCAATCTTGTGCATGTTTTTTTAGAATAATATTTTATTTCTACCTTTCCTAGACACCTTCTATGTACTGACAAACATGTGTCACTTTGAGACCGTGTATGTTTCATGTGGCTTGGCCCAGGAATGACAGAGAAATTAACTCTAAACCAGACGAGAAGTCTGACTTTTAACAATCACCATGGTAAGAGAAATCATTCAGTTGTTATTTGCCACAAAACTACAAAGGAATCTGTCTACTTTAAAACCAATGCCTTCATTATTGGTTATGATCATTATTAATAACAGTTACTGTTATAATATTATTATTATTATAACAGCGATTAGGGTTTGTGCTTCACATTAAGATGGTCCTGGGAATTGCTTTGTGGAGTTTGAATGTTCTCGGCGTTTCTTCCTCCGGGTGCTCCGGTTTCCCATCTAAAACAGGAATTAATCTAATGAGTGAGCAAATGGATGGTGATGGTCTGAGGCTTCAATGCACCAGTCATTATCACTGTGTGGGAAGTAAAAGGAAATTATGGTTTCACCAAATGAGCTTTGTGTGATCTTGTTCCGTAAAATGATTACTTCTGACTCTTTGGAAGAATTAAATAATATTATTGCTCATTTGTTTGTCAACACATAAAAAAATGCACCAATTAATCATAAAGTTGAAAACAACATAATCAAATACACACATAATAATACATATATAAGCAAACACTACTACCAGGCTAGGTTGAAATGTAGCATTTTGTGTGTTCACGAGGTGTAGGCCTATTTATTTCTTGATAAATTTATATTCGCATGAGTTCAAACGCACAATGTATGTATGCAATATTCAACTAGTCACAACAAACATGTCTAACAGAAATTGGCCTGTGTGCATCAAAGAGGTACTCTCAGTATCTTTCTGATGCTCTGAAGTTCACGGGGCTCTTGGACCACAGACTGTCTGCACCACTCCTCTCTTTCCATACTTGGCAATGCATTTCTTGCCTCATCGCGATTGGTTATTGCAAAGAAAGCGCAGTCTGACCCGGACATGTAAACCCATGTTACGCTGAGATCTGCGACCGTTTGATTATGCACCTTGCAACATCAACTGACTGAAGTCCTACAGTAGAGGGCGCTATATTAAAAGCAGCTTTTATTTTACAAAAATCGTGTGTTTGTAGATTGCAACTGATGTGTTATACTGTTAAATTGTTTAAGGGTAAAGGTAAAGATGCACTGTATTGACCCCCGTAAGACAATTCAATATTCATTCATTATTTTGGAAATTCTACAACTTTCACTAAGTCAGAAGACAGTACAGTATATCATAGGCAAGTTCAGTGCGTCTGTGAATTTTGGCTTGTAAGTTCTGTGCTTACTGAAGGGGAAAACAGAATGTATGTTGGATCTCTAAAAAGAAAGAACAGTATCGGAAAATATGTTATTTAACTAGTGTTTTGGCTTAAATGTCTCAGACTGGTTGGTAGTGGCACTAGAATGCAATAATGCATTGCCTTTATTGATGTATTTTTGCCTTTTTGAGTTCATGGCCCAGCAGCGCCCCCTGTGTTCGCCAACCTGACCGGGTGCAGATCTGGGCAGTACACCAGTTGTGTTCAGTGAGTGCAGCCTGCTTCCTGTAGCCTGGTTGAGGAAGTGGATTCCGCTGACAGGGTTGGGCACAGAGAGGGAGAGGCGAATAAAACATCTAAACAGGGCAACTAAAAACAAGCCCTTAAGGAGTATCCAGTCCGGCCGTGGCAGAGTTAGGATCCGTGTCATCGGTGAAACCGTGCTTCCGCAGAGACAGTCCCAGTCCGCCGCAGACATGGTAAGGGCCGCAGCCGACAGACAGGGTTTAGTGGGGCTGGAGGCTAAGCTACGAGGCTAAGTGCTAAGTTTGGCTAAGCAGTAACCTGAGATGTTCACAGTCAGCAGCAGGATACTCAAGTATGTGAAATACACCCACGGATCTCCCTGCAGAAGTTGTGCACGCTGCACTCGTGCAATAGGCTTTATTTCTTTGTAATAAAGCAATTTAGCAATCGCTAGCTGTTAGCAAGCTAACTGCTAATTAGACACAAAGTTACCCCAGGATGTTTTGAATTTGACATAAGTTTACTAGGCGTGTTGAGGCTGCCTCTTTATATAACGCACACTCGTTCATTTATGGTCCCCCTGCACCTTCTCGATCCCAGGGGCCAAAATAACTCGTCCAGGGTGCCAAGATCTAAATAAAGACTGCCTCTTTCTCGCCCCGAGTCCTACATGTCATTCTGCTATTCCTCATATTTGTTTAGGTTTTGTGTAGTTTAGTACAAAACTGTTTCTCTAATTGTGGAATGTCTATGTATGAGGTTTTCTACTTGTGACCTAGTTATTGCTGAACACTTTTCAAACTGGCATTGGAGATCAGAGGCTTGAGATCGTCAGCACGTACATGCAAAAATGAAGACTCTTATCACTGTTTATAAATTGAAGATATTCGGATTGTGATTGTGGCAGAGCAGCTGGTTTGTGTCTTATCCACACCTCATCCATCTCAGCAAAGACTGGGCTTTTTGCAGGTCTCTGATGGTCTCTACTGACCCCAGGACTTATTAGTCCCACTTAGTGTTTATATGAAGATGGAAGCACCACTAAACACTGTCAGATCTTTGTGGTAGCAGATTCACCAGCTGTTTGAGATTTCCCCCAGACATCCAATGACATGTCTGAAGAAATCATGTAACTACCTCAGTGTGTTGCCAAAAAGTCTGTATTGTTGATGCTTGGATCTCCTATTTTCAAACCACCTGCATCAACGCATCTAACCCTCTTCTTATGATCACAGATGAATCGTCAGTTTGTGTTTAAAATTATTTTATTACAACGTATTACGTATTTTCTTCCGCATTATAAAACTGTTCTCTACTACTACTTATTTGTATATATTGTGTGTGCTCCCTGTGTGCTCTTACTACTGTCCTATATGTGCGCTGCAACATCGAAATTTCCCCACTGTGGGACGAATAAAGGAATTCTTAAACTAGAAGTTAATACATGTTTCATATGTTTTTTTCTCTTTTTTTCTCAAACACCTCATTCCTCAGTGTCCTAACATTTTCTTGTTGAGGCTAGTTTTCCTCCATTTTTCCTGCTGATTTCCTGCAGTTTAGTGCAAAGTAAAAAAAAGACACCCAGAGGGAACACTATTTACAATATTTGCAGTGCTCCATCAAACATTATTAATGATGTATAGTTGTCCTTTACTTCTATAGTTACTTTTTCTAGTCTGAAAAAAGATGCTCATGTCGAGCTTGAAAATCCCCAGGAATCAGGAAACTTCAAACTATTGAATCCAAAGAGAACTAACCAGTTTTATTTCTTTGTAAATGTCAACATGAAGTGTTGGATTGATATTGCCTGTGTTTTGAATATAAATCTACACCCGTCATGACTTGATGATTGCAATCTAAATGCCTCCTTCACACTGCCTCTTGTGTCGGCTGTTACACTGTGAGATGTATGAGTTTTTGGTTACAGTTGTTCAGTTATGTTTGTGTGGGGTTTCAGACTGACTCACAGCTGGACTGTGCCCTCGACTTGATGAGGCGTCTGCCTCCACAACAAATCGAGAAGAACCTCAGTGACCTCATCGACCTGGTGAGTGTGGGACACATCATTCTCTATTCTCCCTATGTATCCAGTCGATTGTATGATGGAGTTCAATATTTTCATGTCAAGTCATCATTAAATGTCCCTAATATGTCTACAAGTATACTAGACCATGCTCTTGTCGAATACTTCTTTAACTGTTCACAGCAGTTCAGCCGAGATATTCGAATTTCAAAATTAGATATACAGCCCCCAAATCTTGTTATTGTTTTCACTTAGATGTCCCGCCCTCATTCATTTTACCAATGATAAAGTCTGTGATCCAGGTTGCCAGAACTTGTTGCGTCAAGCTAATCTCACTGGTAAAGTAACATATGGTCGCAGTACTAAAAAAGGTCTCTTTATGATATCAAGAAATAAAAGAAGGATTTCTATTGGGGTTGTCTTTGTGAAAAAGGTGTTGATTATAGATTTGTTGTTGACAAAACTATTGTCAACAACAAAAATTGTCTATTCAGATATTATATTCCCACCTGGATTCGTCTGCATATCTGGCAAACTGAGTCAGGGAGAGTGGGAAAGGTTGTAGTGCCACTTTTGGCCAGATTTTTACATACTGCTCCTTTTAACAACGCACATACCATACAATGATGCAGTTACACTGATAACCCCTCTGCTTGCATGGACAGTAGGGGAACCATTAACACGCACACTTTTGCCAGTGTGCGTCCTGCAGCCTTAGTCCACCGGGTTCTTTGAGTAATCTTATAACATTTAGGGCCCTTAGTCATCCCGCTCCCTATGGACCAATGGCTCCTATGTGTTTGTTATTATTACATTTCCTGTGTTCGAACGGTTTGTTCTCTGATCTGTTGTTGAGGAATTGACAATGTTGTAAAGTCCTCAGAGGCAACTGCTGTTGTGATTTAGGGCTATACAAGAAGTCAGTAGATTGAATTGAATAGTATTCAAACCCTTTGCCCGTAGACATTATGCCAGTATTAATCTATGATTATAAATGTGGCCCAACCTGGTTTCATTTCATCTGAAAATGTACAACATGGGAATTGATTTCAACATTTATGATTTAATAATGAATGTTGAATTATTTTTAACAAACAAAAATAATGAACACATTTATATTGATATTTTGTAAATTTGTCCAATCACATGGCAGAATTGGTATCAATCTCTCAAGTGGGTTGCTTCCAGTTTCATTGGAAAAATCCAGCCTGTTTTATCACTTCTTACCCCAGCAACAAAACCGTTGAAATCGCCAACACAGACCAGAGAATCAAACGGTACAAACATAAAAAATATAGAACACAGGTCTTGGTCCATAGGGGGAGTTGACCAATGTCCATAAATGTTGTATAACACTGGAAAAGGATTGTAGTGTAATGGCAATGACTGAAACCAGTAGGCGTGAAAACTACAACGCCTCCCCTAAAGGGCGGCTCCCAACATTCATGTAAACTTTCTCCAAATATCCAGATCAGACCCAATGACATCCAATGTCATTCACTGTTTTTATTGTATCAAAAATCATTGAAGATTTGAAATGGACTTTCACATATTTGCTTTTTGGGAGTGTATAAAACAAACATATATTTGTTATGATTTTAATGCTATCTTGTTTTGTTTAGCACTTTGAATTGCCTTGTGTATGAATAGTGCTATACAAATAAACTTGCCTTGCCGTTAGGGTGTTTTGATTTGGAATCTTTTTAGGCAAATTGTCTTTAAAATGAAATATCTAACTTTGTACTAGCCCAGAAGCAAAACTGTTTCCATGTGAAGACGCTGAGAGCTGTTTCTGGTATTCCTTGGTCTGTGGTGACCGGACCCCTGCCTCTTCAGCTTCCTCTGTCCTGGGGCCCGTACTTTTAGGTTCATTTATTAGCGGACATTACCACACCTGTCAATTACCTCCAATTTGTTAACACTTTCTGGGCTTTTTTTAGTAACTGTCACATTCTCTTCCAAAATTGCGTCCCACTGCTTTAGTCCTTCATGCTGCAGTCATTTAACTTCTCACATCAATATTATTTCGTTTTGTTTTAAATGAATGAAACAATTTTTAAAAACGATCGATATAAGGAGTTGACTAACCTCAATGACGTCAATTTGAACACAAGCTTGCTGGAGCCAATTTCCTTACATGGGCATTTAATCTGACAGGGTTAGCTTTATGCCGAAACAGTGGCAGAAGTAAACTAAGTGGGGGTTTGTGAATGAAGGCATATGAGCCAATCCTTAAAGCTCGTATGCACTGACTCAAACTTCATTACCAGACGTCTGAAACTGTGGCACAGTTGTACTCACGGTCTGTCGAATGTAACAGTTGTGTCCATCTCAAATTAAACCCCAGGATAATAAAGAGTGCGAAAACACTCAATGTAAGTCAATAAGAGCCAGAGTGAGTTGGAGCAAAACTTCCTTCATGACAAAACCACACGTTTTCACGTTTAATTTTCCACAAAAAAGTGAATTGAAAGTTTTGTCATCATCATTGTGTGAATCTGCTCCGGTTGTATCCAGGTGCCCGCTCTGTGCGAGGATCTGCTTTCCTCCGTGGACCAGCCCCTGAAGATCGCCAGAGACAAACACGTGGGCAAAGATTACCTTCTGTGTGACTACAATCGAGATGGCGACTCCTACAGGTACAGAATGACATTCTTCAAAGGCGGCTTCTATGATTTTTAATGTACTTGTTCTGATGCTAATTAGTTTGAACACTTATAGAATTAAATACTGTTATAGTATATTGAGCAGCTAAATCTACTATTCCCTGTTAGATCTCCGTGGAGTAATAAGTACGACCCTCCCCTTGAGGATGGTGCGATGCCATCTTCTCGTCTGAGGAAACTGGAGGTGGAGGCAAACAACGCCTTCGACCAGTACCGAGACCTGTGAGTGCATCTTGTCATTTTACTATGAAATGTTCCTAGTTTACAGCGGTACATTTCTGTTGTAGGTATTTTGAAGGGGGCGTGTCCTCTGTGTACCTCTGGGATTTGGATCATCACGGCTTTGCTGGCGTTATTCTCATCAAGAAGGCCGGTGACGGATCCAAGAAGATCAAAGGGTGCTGGGACTCCATCCATGTGGTGGAGGTGCAGGTGGGAGGAAATACAAAACTTTACCAAACCTAGATTTTGGATCATTTAAAGCCTAGCGAACATCGACAGAGTAACTGGATAGATATCACCCGATGTGCGCGCTCCAACAACATGTGTGTATTGCGTGTATTGCGCGCCCTCTACAGTTTATGTCAGAAAACACACTGTAGTTGAGGCCAGTTGCTGTCGATGTACGTGCTGTTATTCCCGAGACTGGCCTGCTACTAGGAGTTGCCTGTTTTCGCCAGATTGTCGATGTGTGCGGGGCAGCAACTCATAGGCGACGGATATAATCAGTTGCCAGTCCGATGTACGCTAGGCTTTAGAATTATCAGTTTAGCTACAAAAAAGATACTATCTGGTCTTGTATTATAATCAGCAGCAGCTGTTCATTAATACAGACTGTCTCGAGCAAATAAATATAAACTCAAATGTTTGTGTTTGTAAGGTATTCGATTTAAATCACTAGCAGTTACTGTTGAATTTATTTTTTATTTTTTTCAAAATAAATTAATTTTGGTGTGGAACATGTTTTTTGAACAAAGCCTGCCTCTATGAAATAGAAAACTCTGAGCTTACTTTGTTTCAGTGTTAACATACTTTGAACTAAACTTCTTGCAACGGGACCAATCATTTTATTATTTACTTATTTTTTTGCAGGAGAAGTCTAGCGGTCGCACTGCACATTACAAACTCACTTCCACCGTCATGCTGTGGCTTCAGACAACCAAGGCCAACTCTGGCACCATGAATCTGGGTGGCAGCCTCACGCGTCAGGTGTCTCTTCATTTCTGCTATGATCAAGTATATTATAATCCAATGAAACTGTAGTAGAGACTTTGCTTCATTTGTGTTTTTGTCAGATGGAAAAAGATGAAACGGTTGGAGAATCCTCGCCTCACATTGCTAACATCGGCCGCCTTGTAGAAGTAAGTATTTAGTTCTATCAATCCCACGTCTCTTTGTTTTGTCCTGGTTTGTTCTTTGTGTCTTAAGTGTACACAATCTTGGGGTGTCCTGTGTATAAACTATTAATAAACTATTCATTGTCATTGTTAATAGTTTTGCAGCTAGATACTTAAGGCAACTTTGCAAAAAGCCGTGGCACTTGTACACAATGGTCTGTTTGATTTCAGGACATGGAGAATAAGATCCGCTCAACACTGAATGAAATCTACTTTGGGAAAACCAAAGACATCGTCAATGGCCTAAGGTACAGTCCATGGTGCTCTCTCTTTTGTGTGAATCATTGTTCACAGTTTGAAGCGCGGAACTCTGCATCAGGGCCTTTGCTACACAACATATATTTACCATAAACATTTCCTCTGCTGTTTTAACTATTCCACCCTGAAAATCTTTCTTTTTATTTGAGCCTTTCTCACTTTTGTTTTATCCTCATCTTTCCTTCATATTCGCTGCTCCAGATCTATTGAATCTTTGCCCGATAATCAAAAGTACAGACAGCTTCAGAAGGAGCTGTCACAGGTCCTCACCCAGCGTCAGATCTTCATTGACTAGGTTCAGAGGTACAGCCGGCTCTGGACTCAGGATGTGTGTGGAGAAACTTATGTACTACTAAACTCATCCCACTTACTTCATATTTGAACTTGCACGGCTTTGACACACTGTTAACTTTTCTAATATTTATATTTGGCTTGAATTTGTGTTTGTGACAAATTGTGTTTTATTTTCTATTTTGTTGACGAAACACTATTAACGTTGTCAATTTGAGCGTGTATTCAGTGCCATATTAACAGTGATGGTGCATGTTTTGGTTGCAGGATTTGTCTAGTTTATTTTACTTGTGTGAAGCCATTTTACCCAATGTGAAAAACAACAGGTTGATTTACAACAAAATGGGTTTATTTCTCGTTTGCTTTTCACACTTGTGCTATCCTCGTGTCAAAATTACCCACCATGGATTAAAAGAAGAAGAAAAAACCCTGAATTAGGGTCTACAGGGTCTAAATGACCCAGGGCTGGTCACATTAGGAAAAAAATCATCAAAATTCAGCCCTTATTTGTTTTAGGGTATTTTTTAATCACTGTAGTGGGTCATATTTTACCTGTGGATAGCACAAGGATTAAAAACACAGATATTATATGATGCATGTGATTTAATATTTTGAATTATGTATGCTCTTTGCATTAAACTTACTATGAACAGTGTTCAAACATACCATTCCTGAGGTAAAAATTGTGTTGTGTGTATACTTGTATAACGTGTGTGTGTTTTTGTGTGTGTGTCTGCAGGAGCGTGACACCTCTGTGCAATAACCCCATGCATAAGTCCCTGCAGAGCGACCTGGTGTTGGCGCTCAAGCAAAGAAAGCAGCCGTAGAAGAATCCCCTCTGTTCTGTTCACGTCTCGTTCAGCCAACGTTTCTGTTCGTCATCTCCTTCATGTCGCTGCACTCTTCATTTATTTGTGGGGAAAAAAAAGGAGAAAATGCTTAGCTTTTTATTTGTTTTTCATTTATTTTGTTGCCATTAAGCCATTCACTCTCACACACACACATGTCTGCCCTCCTGAATCTGAACAGTACTCCAACAGTTCATGTGTTTTGTTTCTGTGTGAGGGCCACTGTATAGTTATGATCCCTAAAAGAGGATTTGGACACAAACTGCTCTGTCGGCAGTGAATCTGTTTTTTCCCATACGTCAAATTAATTACCTGCACCTTTTTGCCTATAGCACCGTCTAATATATTTGTATAATATCTTAATATGTCAATGTATCTTTCTTTCATCTGAAAAGGTGCAGGCGTCGCCATGTGGGCCTGTGTTGGCTGCAGTGCTCCCCTCACTGTATAAAACTATTTCGGCTCATCAGCTCCTCTCATCACTTATGTCTTTATTGGGGGTCACTGTTCGTCTTTATGTCTCAGTGGAAACCTTTGTTTCCATTACGGAGGGGAATCTTTTGTTGAATTTTTGTTTTTATTTTGTAAAGCTTATGATTGATATTGTATTAGAGCCTCCAGCAACAATAAAAACTGTAAAAAGCTACTTCTATGACATGTGTTCTTGGGGATTCAGAGGCCACTGTTTTTTCTTTGTCAATATTAAAAAAACAATAAAAGGACAGACTATTAATCATTGCAGCATAGATGGTTGTTGTGTCACAATCACAAGTTCATTATTATTAACTTACGGTTATTTTGTTAGATTCTGTTTTCATTAGAATGCTTATTTCACCTTGTAAACAACTTTAATATAATTGACTTCCCTTCAGTAAGTAACCTGGTAAATTATGAGAGTGACTTGAATCGCCAAAAACCTGAGACAAGCTGGAGTTTCCCTGCAAATGAAGGCCTCTGATTGGTCCACCCTTATGGCTTATATCTGGATTTCTAGAGACAATATAAAATATTTGTATGCCCAAAATGGTGAGTGGGACACAAATGGTTACTGAGCAGGAGGAGTTTTCTTTAATGTGTTAAGGCATTATGACTAGCAAGTTGGAGCAAATCTTCGTCCATGAGCACTTCCCTATTGAGCTTGCGGGAAAATGTCCAAATTTGCCGAACGTCCTATGGCTACAAAGTTATTTCTGGTCTCTGCCAAACGGGACTTGAGTTTCTACACAAAGGGTCCATTTAAACTGTAAAATGTAAAATACAGAGGATGCAAATATTATATACAAGGTATATTCTATTTGAATTATAAATTCTTAAAGATTATCATTTTTTCTCAACCTATCACAAGCACTTGTTTTAATGCATGCTTTTTAGTTTTAATATTTTTACTGTTGTGTGTAATATGATTAACCACAAGGGGTCACTCGCGGGATACAAAACTTTCCAATGTACAAATACAAAGTCAGATATATATTGTGATCCTTAACAACCGTACATTATATTTCCAATATAAGGCCAATTTTATCATCATACCATTTCAAACGGAAATGCCTAAATAAGTAGGACACTGTGTTTATATTGCTCAGTGTTATGTATGTATTCAAAAGCGGTCTGTCACTAATTGAATAAGAATACTGTGAGGTCTTTTCCCTGTATAGCGACATACCTTTTGTGCTCAATAACGTGCTGTAAACATATTTTTCTTGTTGATTAATGCCCTGCGCCGGTGAGGGGTAGAGCAGAGATTTCCCATGGTCCATGATGAAATAATAAGCCTTAAACAGTCTATGTTTAATGAATGGAGGAATCTGCTTTGTGCACTGATAATAAATGAAGCTTTCAGGAAGTCAGCATTTATCTCTGAGTGTGACAGCGACCCCCGGACCCCTGACAGAGTTGTTACCCCCCTCCTCACCCCCTCCCACCACACAGGTTATGCAAATTGGGCATGGGGGGCAGCGCGCAAGGAGGAGCCATTTATCATTCAGCGGAGTTGAGCGGACAGAGCGGAGGTCCGTCTGCAACTGTGTCCTGAGAGCCGGTGCGTGTGCGTATCGACGGGAGACGATAGTCACAGAAAACACGTCTTTAAGCAGAGGAGCTTCGTGCGCCCGTGCCAAAGCATGGATGAGACGCAACAAAGGAAAACTTACTGGAGGAAAGTTTAACCCGGAGATCAGCGGCAGAAGCTTCCCCCAGTGGACTCAAAGTGCTGAGCGAGATGCACTTCTTTACATGGGATTTGTTGTTGTTTTTTCTTTGCTGTGAAGTTGTTCCAGTGGTGCGCGGCTTCACCGTACACGTGAGCGAGGATGCGGCTCCCGGGACGGTGCTGGCCGCTGTGGAGCGTGGCGCGCACTGCACTCTGGACCAAGTGCTGGCTCCAACATTCACACAGCGCTTTTTGGGCACGGACTCATCGCCGGGGACTGTGTTCACCACGGAGTTTGTGAGGTGCTCTCAGCTACGTTCCAACCCCTTCACGGTGTTCACTGTGGCGGACTGTTCTTACGCGTCCTCTGGCTACAGGCACCTGGTGACCAGTCAGTGGGACGTGTATGTTCACGGCAGGAACTGTTCAAATACACGCAGCAAAGCTCAATGGGACATGGAGGTTCTCAGTTTGTTCACAGGTCACAGACAACACCGCGAGGAGTGCCTCCAAGCGGACTCTGTTCTGTTCCCTGTGGGGGGTCTGGTGCCGGGAGCCCTCAGCACATGCATAGTGACCAACTCTATGAACTTTTACTTGTCTGAAGGAAACTTGTTTGTGTCTGAGACTCTGTGCTGGCTTCAGGACTCTCTGTTTGAATTAGATCTGCTTTGTGATATTGAGATGGACTTTAAAGTTAGTCCTGTGTCCATCCACTGGCGTGTGGGGCGGGGCCCCTTCAGACAGGCCCATGTGGCCCGGTTACTAGAGAAAGCAGCTCGGTCTGATTCAGGAATAGTGAGCCGCAGTGGGAGGAGGAGGAGAAGCATCAACAGCAGCCCCCAGTTCCAGCCCCCAATGTACCAAGTGTCTGTGTCCGAGAACAAGCCGGCTGGGACTCCTGTGGTGGTTTTGAAAGCTGTGGACATGGATGAGGGGGAGGCAGGACGTTTGGATTATTTTATTGAGGCTCTCTTTGATAGTCGCTCTAATAACCTGTTTGTAGTTGACCAGGCCTCTGGAGCGGTGTCCACTGTAGATGTGTTGGACAGAGAAACTAAAGACACTCATGTTTTTCGTGTGACCGCAATGGACCATGGTAGCCCACGCCGCACAGCAATGGCCACACTGACCATCACAGTCAGTGACACCAATGACCACAACCCTGTGTTCGAACAGCAGGATTATAAAGAGAGTATACGAGAAAATCTGGAAATAGGTTATGAAGTTTTGACTGTGAGGGCTACAGACGGGGATGCACCAGTAAATGGTAACATCCTGTATCACATTATTAACAGTAATGGCACTAATGATGTGTTTGAGATTGACTCCAGGTCTGGCGTGATTCGAACCAAAGGCCTCGTGGACAGAGAAGAGGTCAACTCCTATCTGCTCATGGTAGAAGCTAATGACCAGGGTCGTGACCCTGGGCCACGGAGTGCCACTGCTACAGTGCACATTGTGGTGGAGGATGACAATGACAATGCTCCACAGTTCAGTGAGAAGCGCTACGTGGTGCAGGTGCCAGAGGACATGAACCCCAACACTGAAATCCTGCAGGTCACGGCCACTGACCAGGACCGATCAAACAACGCCATGGTGCACTTTAGCATCATGAGCGGCAACACCAGAGGCCAGTTCTACATAGATGCACAGACCGGCAAAATGGACCTAGTGAGCCACCTGGACTATGAGGCCAACAAGGAATACACCCTGAGAATCCGTGCTCAGGACGGGGGCCGTCCTCCTCTCTCCAACATTAGTGGACTGGTGACTGTTCAAGTGTTAGATGTAAATGATAATGCACCCATTTTTGTCAGTACCCCCTTCCAGGCCACCGTGCTGGAGAATGTACCACTGGGATACTCCATCATACACATCCAGGCTGTGGATGCAGACTCTGGGGACAACTCCAGACTAGAGTACCGCCTCACTGACACCACGCCAAACTTCCCCTTCAGCATCAACAACAGCACTGGCTGGATCGTGGTGGCTGCAGAGTTGGACAGAGAGAGTGTGGACTTTTATAATTTTGGAGTAGAGGCCAGTGACCATGGGTATCCTGTAATGTCCTCCTCTGCCAGCATCAGTATGACCATTCTAGATGTCAATGACAATAACCCTGAGTTCACACAGAAAGCCTATTACATGCGTCTAAACGAAGACGCAGCCGTTGGCACCAGTGTAGTGACTGTGTCAGCTGTGGACCAGGACATCAATAGTGTAGTAACATATCAGATATCCAGCGGAAACACCCGGAACAGGTTCTCAATCACCAGTCAGAGCGGTGGAGGGCTCATCACTCTGGCTCTCCCTTTAGATTATAAACTGGAGCGGCAGTACATGCTCACTGTCACTGCTAGCGACGGCACTCGCTTCGACACGGCCAAAGTGTTTGTGAATGTGACGGACGCCAACACTCACAGACCTGTGTTCCAGAGCTCACACTACACTGTGAACATCAACGAGGACCGGTCCGTGGGCACCACAGTGGTGGTCATCAGTGCCACAGACGATGACACTGGGGAGAATGCTCGCATCACTTACTTCATGGATGACAGCATCCCTCAGTTTGACATTGATCAGGACACAGGCGCTGTGACCACTCAGATGGAGCTGGACTATGAAGATCAGGTTTCATACACTCTGGCCATCACAGCTCGAGACAATGGCATCCCACAGAAGTCTGACACCACATATCTGGAGATACTGGTAAATGACGTGAATGACAATGCTCCCCGCTTTCTCAGAGATAATTATTTGGGCACCGTGATGGAGGATGTGCCGCTGTACACTAGTGTGGTCCAGGTGTCCGCCACAGACCGAGACTCGGGGCTGAATGGCCGAGTCTTCTACACTTTTCAGGGAGGAGACGATGGTGACGGAGACTTCATCATCGAATCCACTTCAGGGATTGTCCGCACTCTGCGCAGACTGGACAGAGAGAATGTGCCTGTTTACAGCCTGCAGGCCTATGCTGTGGACAAAGGACACCCGGCATTAAGAACAGCCATCAACATCCAAGTGACAATCCTAGATGTGAATGACAACCCCCCTGTATTTGAGAAAGACGAGTTTGACATTTTTGTGGATGAGAACAGCCCTATAGGTGTGGTGGTGGCACACGTGTCAGCCTCTGACCCAGACGAGGGGAGCAATGCACAAATCATGTATCAGATTGTGGAGGGGAACATCCCTGAGGTTTTTCAGCTGGATATTTTTTCTGGTGAATTAACTGCATTAATTGACCTGGATTATGAGGCCAGAAATGAGTACGTCATTGTAGTTCAAGCCACCTCTGCCCCTCTGGTCAGCCGAGCAACTGTTCACATCAAACTTGTGGACAAAAATGACAACAAACCCATCCTGAAAAATTTCCAGATAATCTTTAACAATTATGTCACAGAGAAGTCGAGCAGTTTTCCTACAGGTGCGATCGGACGCATCCCTGCTTTTGACCCTGATGTTTCTGACCAGCTCCTGTACAAGTTTGACTCTGGGAACGAGTTGAATTTAGTGCTGCTGAATCACAGCACAGGGGAGATCCAGCTGAGCCAAGCGCTGGACAACAACCGGCCCCTGGAGGCCTCCATGAAGATCTCTGTGTCTGGTGAGTCCACATCATCATTATTTATGCAGCATGTTTCTCACACTGACTAATTGGGTCAACACTCAAACAGCACAATTACTTTTCCATTTCAATGCCTTCACTAATGTAGAGATATCACTTCAATATGTCTTTTACACAATTATATTCCTCCCTCATAGCTATTCATGAGGTTGGCAGTCTATCATGGCATCTGTCTATCTCAATCAAAAAAGTAATTTGTTCTGCCGTGTCAGACTGTAATGTTGCCGGACCTCTAATTAGTTAAGTAAATTGTACAGACAAGCCTGCTTTAGCTCTGTCTATTGTGGAGATTTAAATAAGCGTTTGTCTGTGTATGTCTGCTTCCTGTTGCCTTCACACACTCCAGTAAGCAGGCTGATCCCCATCATCGCCCCACTCCCCCTGCCCGCCATATACAATGAAAGGCCTAATTCAATTACAACTTGTTTTTACAGTCACAACAAGTGAGTGTGCAGTGTCGCTGTCGTGATGGCGAGTTGTGTAGTCCGTCAAAACGTTACAATGTGTTGGCTGATGCTTAGGCCGTGGACAAGAAGGCACTTTGTATATGTTTGTGTTGAGAAAACCATTTCGATCACTAGGAGCTATTGAGGTCTTAAAGCTGGGCCATCTAACTTTCAAAGCACACACACACATTTAACTATGTAGTAAAATCCATATATCTAGTTCCTCACTTTCAAAACAGTTTGGTGCTGTCACTTGTTTTCATGTGCATGTGTTTTTTTTTTGCGTATCACATTTTTAGATTTGCTTTTTTTCCATCAGAATAGTGACAAATGTATGGCTCTGTCTCTGACTAAGCTTAAATCATCAAAAGGTGCACTCACTGGGCTTTTTCTTTTAAGATGAAGACATTGATCTGATTGGTTTGCAACATTTTACTTTTACTTCCTGTTAGGACAAACGATAAGCTTATTTATGAAGAAATAAAGTTTGATACCCCAGCTTTAAGTCATTTATTTGTATTAATTGGTTTATGATGTCTTGACCAAAGGATTTAGATACTTTCATTATTCACAATAGCTGAAATGAGTAAGTTCTTTAGAAAGTTTGTGAGTAATTGCAAATATTTACAGATTGTTGCAGTGTTTTCTTGTTTTAAGTAGGCTGTATTGTACTTACATTACTTTGAGGGCTTTCCCCAGTCCCACAACATGCCTATTTAGTCAGAATTTGATGCATTGGGCTTGTCTTTGTCGAGCTAAGAATTTATTTTAACAGTGACAGCCCTATACAAATTTTGCATAAGTCCTGGATTTGCTTTTAGTTTTGTGTTTACTTCATTCCCAGATGTTAAAATAGTCAAAATAATAGTTTTTTTCCCTTTATTCTCTCAAATAAGTTCATAATATTACGGCTTCTCTCCTCGATGAAATAGTTCGGCTTTGGTTCACTTCTTTTAATATATAGTCGTAAAGAAGTTTGTAATATTTCAGAAATTAATTTATAATCTCCTCTAGCTGTGTACTTTAAACCCGGCGCGTCAACCTACCCAAGCCCACGGCACGTCTTAAATTACCGTCTGTGTTTCCCGGCAGTTTTAATTCAGCAGGTCCACACAGATTACAGTTTTATTGCTTTTTAAATGTGACTCGACTTGAATTGCTGAGCGAATGTCGTCACTCTCAGCTGGAGGTTTTGATGCTCTGTGATTTTCTGTTCGCTGCTTTGTCTTTGACCTTGGCACTACCTCCTAGGGAGCAGTGGGGATTTTAATAAGAAATCAAGGTTACAATCTCAACAATGGCTCGGAAATGGGAAGCTTAAGACAACACTGAGTGGACTAAATGGCATGATGGGGGCAATTTGACAGTTTAAAGTGCATTATTCCTGCTTGTTGTCATTGGCATAATGGTCCTATCAGGCTGGCGTGGGCAGTCCTCCCTCTGGTAGATTGAGTCGTGGTTTAGTCCTGGTCAAGAACAATAGTGGACAGTCGATTTAGGGCTGAGCTCATCCTGGGACGGGCCGAGCGGGAGACAACAGCTGGGATTCCAGCGTGGACCAATTAGAGGCTGAGTCCCCCCACGCGTCCCACACCTGCTGGGTGTATGTCAGCAGGACACGAGGGTGATGGAGGAGAGAGGAGGAGTGGGGGAGGGTCTGGGGTAAAGACTGGTGCATTAAGTAAAACTGAACTAGTTAATGTTGGGTACTGGTTTGCCAAACGGTTTGCTTTTTTAGGTATGTACATATTTCTACAATGTTCAAAATACATTTGTGCCAATAATCAAGACAAGAACTATAGTCTTTTAGAGTTGCTGTCACAAAGTTCAGAATCTTCTAAAACTATTGTCTAATTATTTTCTCTTAAAGGGGTCTTGAAGGTGTGACAAAATTACAAAAACATGTCTGATGTTGGCCAGTAGAGAGGACTTTCAGACATGAGATTACGTTTTGGGGTTTGTAAATGTAACCACTTATCATCTAATAATGATCTGGGAAAATATTTGGACATTTTCTTATCAAAAATGTTTATTTCCAATAGCGTTGTATTGGAACCTGCCCTCCTGCATAATTACCCAAAACCTATTTGGTATAGTCCTGGATCTTATGAACAGTATCCTACTCTGGTTTTGACCTAATTAAATCTGTTGCTTATTACTATAAACACAAGTCACAATTAGTGAACAATTAGTATTTTAATCGGACTCGAGGCTTTGAGCATCATTTATCTACTGGCTGAATGACAATGATGGCACAATGCAACCGCAAAAATTAAATGTTCTTATGGTAAATGCGTGGTGGGGTAAAGGGTATAAATGAGAGCCATAGAGAGAGGCACTGGGGTGGACTTCTTAGATGTTGCTGACCCCAATTTCCAAAGGCTCCTACCTCCAGGGACCTCCCAAGTCCCCACTATTATCTTGGTTTTTATGCTGGCGTTTAAGAGGCCCCATATATGGACCGTTTTTGACGAGGGCTTTTGTACGCTGCCTGACTGTGATTAACAGCATTTCTGAGAACGCCTCTCCACTGTGCAATGAGACAATGTACTGACCGCACTTTGATCCAGCGCTGAGGATTTTCAATGTAATTTTGGAAAGTGATGGAGTGGGACAAACGAAGGGGAATCAGTTTATTCTATGCTGTCAATGCTATTTTATTTGTTGCATTAGGGATGGAGTATTGATTGTTTGTAATTCAGCTGGTGTACATTTCTGATCTAAACTTGGATAATTGTATCAGGTTGGCATGACGTGGAATACCTCCATAAACAAAAGAAGAACCCTTGCTATCTGTGTCTTGGGCATATCATAAGTTAATGAGAAGGCAAGGTTGTATTTATTTATTTTAGGGATAGTTAAAAAATAATTACAATTCATTTATTTACATAAATATGACACAATTATAGGCTATTTTCCACCATTAATCCTCTTATTTACACAAAGGGTGATCACAGCCTCAGCCTTTTCAAAATAGCACATTTCAAATGCTTTTGGTGTTTGGCTGCTATTTTTCTTTGCATAGCACGGTTCAAAGATATGTGTTTTTTAGAAAATGTTTTAGATTATTTAAAGGTAAAGAGGAGGATAATTCCCAAAATGTGTGCCCTCTCTACTTTTAGAAAAAATGCACACAATGCTCCGAGAGAGAGAATGTCTGCCTTCGTCACTTAAACAAGCTCACTTTCCAAGAAGATATGCACATTTCCCACTATATCAGACAATAAAGACGTAGATAACTTTTACTAGAAATGATTTGAAATGGTCTCCTCCAAATAGAAGCCAAACTTTACCTGTCGAGCAGAAACACTTGTCTGATGAGCACGAATAACAGCCTTACGTCACATTTCACCAGAATGATAGAAAAATTAGGGCGACTAATAGTCTCCATGATCCTATTGGACAAAGAAAGTCCTCCTATAAACTTTCAACATCAGTACTCCCAGAATTCTGAAATCTCCCATTAAAAGCGATATAATTTTTTTTTTTTAATTAAAATTAGGTGATTAATGCATTTTTATTAATCTTGTATACATGCTAAAACTCGGGAACTACAATTGAAATAAAGCTCCAAACTGAGATCTCTCCAAACCAGTTAAGGACCAGTTAAGTCTGGGGTCGAGATAATTTTCATGAAACAACATTCCAAGATAATATTGATATTTAAGATACTTCTGTTCCCATGTAAGCCCCTGTAAGCTCTAAACGCTAATTTTTCTTACTGTAAATATAACAAGTAAATCTAAAAATTGCCTATGTATCACAAGATCTTTCCGCACAACACGATTACATAGCTCCAAATCTATACAAACACATTTCTTTCTCTTTGACCTTGATGAGATTCGACAAGATCAGTCCTGTGACGAGGGGAGTGGTGAATGATGTCATTGTACTGATGCCTATTCTTCTTCATTTGTCATAAATTATCCTCACAAGACCAAACAGTATTGGCTTGATAAACATAATTATAGACTAGATTCATACCACAGAGAATCAGAACCGTAGTGAAATATGGAGTCCAGGTTATCCGCAAAGCTTTATCGTCTCATTATATGCCGTCTGGAGCGTGTTCAGGCATACATTAGAGTTCATGTCTAAATATTCATGCTTCGAAGGAGACGAGTCCTTTTGAAGTTTTCACTGATTAAGATACAGGTTAAGACTTTATTCGTCTCAGAGTGGGGAAATTTCAGTGTTGTATCACCAGTTACAGAACAGAAGAATGAGATTAGGTAAACAGTAACCCTAAACTAAAATTAAACGAAATTACTTTAGCATATTAAAGAAGCAAGTATAAAATCTCTAGCTTTAGCGTATTAACAAAGCAAGTAAAACATCTCAGGCCTAGCATATTAAAGTTAGTATAATATCTCTATTTTTAGCGTGAAAAATAAGTCACTATAAAATCTCTTATAAACAAGTAAGTATATAAACTTTAGCATAATAAAGAAGCAAGTATCAAATCTCTAGCATAAAGAAGCAAGTCTAAAGTAATGCAGGGAAAAGAAAGCTACAGGGTCGACGAGAGATGAT